TGATGTGACTGCACACAGCATCGCTCCACCTGCTTAAACCTGAGCACAGGTGTAATTAGATCATCAATATATAAAGTATAAACTAGACACCCTCATTGACATGTAATATCTCACGAAGATGTAATTCTTTTTCAAAAGCTCTTTCACATATACGTTTTGGTTTGATGTAGAAACACTATAAATATTAAATACTGCCAGCTGTAAGTTAAACAGCTTCGCAAAGTTCCCAAACTACATCAACTGAAACCAAATACGACCACCTTCACATAGAAACTGCAGCAAAAGAAGAAGGCGAGTGTCGGCCGAGAGAATCCACACAGAGAGGAAGATGAAGAATGTGGACATGAAACAGGCAGGAAAAATTAAGTTGCAGTAGCTAGAAAAGAAGGAAGAGGACGGTAAAGAGGAAGAGCCGCGAAGACAGAGCGAACAGCACAGCGGGAAGCTCTCTGATTCAGACAGAGCCGGAGAGAGGAGGATTCACACGGCGGAGGGGAAAACGAAAGACGGCGGCTATGAAAACAAATAGAGACAAATACGTTGAGTGGAGAGAAGATGCTCACAGGAAACCACAGGAAGGGAAGTTGACAGAAAAGAGCAACGAGCAGAAAGGCGAGTCGAGGAGGAGGAAGGGACGGAGAGCAAGCGGCAGATCTGAGGCAGGAACAACTGAAGGAGAAACTCAGCGGGTGGAAAGAAGAGAGACAGAGGTTTTGGTGAAGCTGCAGATGTTTTATTCAGCGAGGAAGAACAGAGGACGAGGAGCTACACAGCCGTCGACCCTCGCCGCATACAGACGTGGCTTCATATACATTCTCAGCACCTTGGCAGTCGTCTGTGTGTCTGTCGAGGCGACAATCTGCCGTCTTACAGCACAAATCTGACAACAAAATCACACAAATTGAGAGAGATGCTGCCTTTTTTAGGCACCATTTAGGTTCACAAATGCTAAATAAAGTGTAATATTAGGATCCCTAATTCAGTTTCCTCCTTTAATTTCACCTTAAGTCGCTTTATGGTTGGAAGGAACTAGAGCTGTAGTCAAACAAGGACTGGTTGCGTTCTACCCGAGATGACACATAAATACCTATAAAAAGCTGATATGTGCTGTATGTTTAATCAATTTTAACATATTTTCTACTTAAAAAACAACAGCAAACTTTAAGTAGACCAGCCTGTACTGTGTCATACAAACTCAAACAGTGTTGAGGATGACATGCTGAACACTGGGTTCAGAGATGAGTCACGTGCACATAACATGATCAGGGTTAAAAAATAAAGGTGTTTTCAGTCCTTCGAGTGAGATCTCTCATCTCTCAGAAGTTGTTTTGTCATAGAGAACGCAGGACTTGGAGTTTCC